TGTGCTCGGTGATAGAGTGCCTGTCTAACACATGCAGGGCCTGGGTATCATCTCCCAAACTACAAAACAAATCAACCACATCAATAACAAAAGACCCAAAGACCTAAAGACAGGAGGCCATTGAACAAGCAAGGATAGCTGGTATGCTTCACCTTCATGAATCAGGTTCCTTGCACTGGAAGACAGCTGTCCTGTACTGCTCAGCCAGAAGGCACCAACAGAATTAGAACTCCTCTTATCCTGACTGGGGGCAGGGCTACAAAGGGGAGCTTTCTACTCTGATACAGCATTTTCATCCCAAAGGACATTCTTGCATGCCCGTGAACCCTCTGGGAACTGGTGAACCCATGGGAGAGCTCATTGGAGGCTGTCTTTCAGATCTCTTCAAAGAAGGCTGTCATTTTCCAATGTGATCATTCTTAATATTGTGCAGATGGTGGGTTGATCCATCTTCAGATGATCTAACTGCATCGAACTTTCATCAAACACTTTGTGGAGTTGCAATGTCTTAATTGTGGGGTGAGTGTTGAATGTCTTCAAGAGTACTGAGCCAAGCACTCCTCCCACTGAGCCAAACACTCCTCCTACTGAGCCAAACACTCCTCCCACCGAGCCAAGTATTTCCATCTAAGCCAAGTTCTCCCACTGTTTTCAATGGAAAAGTTAGTGATGGGGAACCTGGGAGTTTTTAGCAAGTCCGGTTCCTACAGCCCAGTGTTGATAAACACACAGTTCTGTCTCAACTTACTGGCTGAGAATTTCCATACAGGGCTGTGGAGGGTCTCCTGGGCCTTGAAAACATCACAAGTCCATTTCCCATAAAGAGAATGAGACAATCACAGGGGCAGTGGGAGAGGGAAGGATCATCAGAGGAGAGGCTTGGGAACCCCAGGCTAGCTGAGGATAGCAAATGGTATTTTCTCGGTGTTCTCTGTTCTGTTGCTCTCCTTCACCCAGAAAGCTTTACAAATCTTGAACACAGAGTTTGCTAACACAGAACACGGAGCCTGCACTTGGGTGCAGGCTAGAGGGGGTAAAAAGGCATGGAGCACAGAGAAGAAGTTGGTGAGCTTAGTACAAAAAATACAGGCTCTTTAATTCTGTGGTGCCTTGAAATGTCGCTGATGCCGTCTACTCTGAGGTCACCTTCTGAGTTCACATTTGGGAAAGCCTAAACTCTCAGTGGAAGCCAGAGAGAGTGTAGCCATCTGAGATCTGGACTTGGTTCACTTCTGGCTTCCAGGTTGACATCAAACACCAAGCCCCTCTACGCCTTAGCGATACTAAAAGGTCATTTAAGGGTATGAGAGGTACAGGTCACCCTGGCTCCCCATTTCTTGGCAGGCCTGGGGGAATCCTCCTTTTTAAAACAAACAAACAAACAAACAAAAAAAACAAACCAAAAAACAAAACTGGGATCAAGTCTTATTTCAAACATCAACACGGCTTCTGTCACCACCTGACCTTGAGGGCTTTGCCCCTTCCCTCTGCACAAACATATTTATATTTGCCCATGTTAACAGTATTCCACCACACATTCACATACACAATCCTCTGTCCCTCATGGGGGGAAACCAGAGGGGAAACACAGGCTATCAAAACTGACGTCAGCCTAAGTTAAGATCACCTTGGGGTCCCAGATGATTGTAAGAACTGACAGGTTTGATCCAGACTCTGCATCAGACCCCCTTTTCTTGGAGAACGGTCATATTCCCTCTGCAACTAGGACCCCAAAGAGCCTCTTTGAGCCATTTGCATACAGCAATGCAAAGAGAAGCTGTGGAAAGCAGAGCCCTAAGAGGAGGTGAAAAGGGAAATGAAAACAGAAACCTCTCTGAAAGGCTTGCTGTGGACCAGGGATCTTGCCCAGTGGATGGTTTCTGTGTCATTCCACTTGTACCATCCTCAAGTCAATGCTATTACTGTAGAAGACAGACACCTTGCTCCCAAGTTCCTCTACTCTTACCTGGGATCTAGCCTTGCCCTCAAGTCCTTTACCCAGAGCTTGGGTATTAATTCACTGCCCTCCTCGAAGGAGGAGGGAGGGGGCACAAAGATTACAAATGAAGGGTCCCATGTCAAGCACTTAGCTGTGGACCGAGGAACACAGTATGAAATGAGAAGGACAGTGTGGCAGATGAGGAGAAGGGCATTCCCTTCAGAATTAGAGAATTCCATCTCATTGCCACCCCACCTCCATGGCCAATTTTATTGCGTCAAGAATGGGCAAACCCAGAGAGAGAATGCCCACTACTGTTTGGTGAGGAGAGGGGAGACTACTAAGTGGAGACAGGTTTCTTCCTGGGGTAAAAACATGGCTCAGCAACCAGATAGTTAAAGCCTGCCTGCCAATAAGCTGTGCACTGGGAAATTGTCAAAATGACAAATTTTATGTGTATTACCTATAATAATGATAATAATAAAATAAGAAGGAGTTCTCTGATCAACCATATAACAGAACTACTTCAAGCTAGAGCCTGGCTGCTTTTCAATGCTGGCTGCAGGCATATGAACTGGGCTACATAGGCCCACTGTCAGAAATCCCAGGATCTGCAGGCTGCTCCAGGAGACTATTTTGAAATGAACCTTAATCTAAAAGAATAACATTTTACTTTGCAACTTCACGTGTTTCTCTTTGCAATTTACCCCTTGTCTTTAATCTGCATGGTCACCCAAACAATCATATGTGTCTCTGTGTGTGAGCACGCATGCACACGTATGTGTGTTTAATTCAAGAGGAAATGGAGTCTGGTGAATACTGCTTTGAAATCCTGTCTGACTCCCACTCCTGTTTTCTGAATGTCTATTTTTAGCCCTGGACAGAAAGCCGATTCAAACACGCACTCTTCCGGAGAAGTCATGAGTTCTGTAGTGTTTTCAGGAAGGGAAGTCTCTGCGGGGTAGAACTGTGTTGGAAAAAGGGATCTGGAATAAAGTATGCCACAAAATTCATGATGAATGTCAGCTGAGCAGGGCCACACATATAAATCTTGTATGCTATATTTAAATAAAAAAGCTAAACTAAAAATAATAAAGTGAATAATACTGAAGAACCTTTTCCAGCAACGACATAAGTAGTTTTGTTTAAAAAAAAAAATGTTCCCAAGCAGTAGTCAAAAAAGAATGAAACTGATCATCTGAAACCAGAACCAAATGCCCTGGAGGAAAAAAAAATTCTATACAATTTTAACACACTCTGGGCATGTAAGTTTAAACAGTTTAAAAACAACATGGGGTGGAGGAGTATAGAGTCTCATGAAGCCCAGACTGGCCTTGAACTTACTATACAGCTGAAGGTGAGCTCACGGCCCCTGTCTCATAGATGCTAGGATTGCAGGGGCTTTATATCAAGCTGGGGATAGAACTCAGAGCTTAATGTACAACCTACAACTTGAGACCCTATAATGCCATTTCAAAACACACACATTATTAGAAAAGAATACTATTTTACTCACAGATAGACTATTAAGTATTTCTTACGAGATCAAAGATGACAAGTCAGCTGTTTTGAAGTTTTAAAAATTGTGGGTAATTTTCTTTAGATGAGCAGTAAGATAATTGAGAAGTTGGCATAAATTAGTATTTCAGGTTAGGTTTTACCATAAGGAAATTTCAAGTCATAAGAAATGTCCATTTACGACTTATAAAATTGAGGTTGTAGAGTGGGCATGTTTCATTTTTCACATCTATTGAAGAATTTCAGTTCGGGATGACAAAAGCTTATACTCTAATGCATAGTACTCCAGCCACTAGGTCAATATCTAGGCTTAATGAATAAGCCAATACCAGTGGCTTCTTATCGTTTTGACCTACTTTAGATATGTATTGAAAATATCTGTGCTCTAGAACTTGTGGGAGTAGCTGACCAATATCTGATTTGACATAAGGTGCACTCCATGAAAGGGAACCCATGCCCATCACTGCTTGAATAACCAAGAACCAGAGACTAGATAGCCTAGAGACTTAGGGTAAAACCAAACTCTATTGGTCTTTAAAGAAAAAAGTATAAATAAAATGACTCCTAACGATACTCTGCTATACACATAGATCAGTGCCTTATCCAGTCATCATCACTGAGACTATCTCTGGCAGCAGATAGGAACAGATGCAGAGACCCACAGCCAGACATTATTTGGAGAGTCAAATGGGAGGTCTCCATCAAATCCCTTCAGAGCTCAGGGAAGATGAGATGGAAAGACTGTAAAAGCCAGAGGTGATGGGGGACATCAGGAGAGCAAGGCCCTCTAAAACAACTGAAAAAGGTGTATATGAGCTTACAGAGATTGAAGCAGCAAGCCCAGAGCCTACATGGGTCTGCTCCAGGTCCTCTGCATATATATTATAGCTACAGGCTTAGTATTTTTATGGGACTCCTGACTGTGGGAATGAGTGGGTCTCTCACTCTTGTGCTTGCTCTTGGGACCAACTGTTTTCCTCCTGTTATGTTGCTGTGCCCAACTTTGATATGATAATTTTTGCTTCATCTTATTATATTTTATTTTTCATGTTTGGTGGTTATCTTTTTAGAAGCCTGTTTTATTTTATTTTATTTTTCTAATAAGAGACAGAAAGGGAGTGGATTCAGAGGGGAGGAGAGGTGGGGAAGAACTGGGAGGAATAGACAGAGGGAAAACTATGATCAGGATATACTGTATGATAAAAGAATCTACTCTCAATAAAGGAAAAAAATGGAAAAAATATCTGTGCTTAAGTTTTCTGAAGCTGACTTTGGAAAACATGATAGGGTTGATGGGGAATGTACTTCTGTGTATGTTCAACTTATTGATTGTTGAATAAAGTATTGTTTGGCCAATGAGGCAGCAAGTTAGACGGGACTAGGAGCCAAAGTGGATTCTGGGAAATGTAGTAAAGAAGTGATGATCCAGGCAGGAAATGACATAGTAGGGAGACTCATACATAAACAGAGGAAGAAGGAAGTGGGCCCTGTCTTCCTCCAGATTCGCCATGTGATCCAATGGAAGGCGTCTGATAAGATAAGTCTTATAAAATATATAGATTTATAATTAAGACTGAGCTAACAAATGAGAATCCTAGTCATTGGCCAATCAGCATTTGTACCTAATATAAGTCTCAGTGTATTAATTGGGGCTTTAACTTGGCCGGCAGAACTCAGGAGGCTGGTGGAGACCGCCCACTTGGTGGTAGAGCTCGGGTGGCTTTTGGCGGAAAGATTCATCATAACATAGGGTAATGCTTTAACCATTTCAGATATGTGAGCAAAACAAATCACTGCCAGTGTTTAGAGACATGGAGAGAAAGCAAAGGCAATGGAAATGCTCTTAATCAGGGCTTGCTGACTAGTCACTAAAGAGTCATGCAAAGGTTAATCATACTGTTAATCTTGATGTAAACCACGAAAGAGTCAGTAGTCAAGGGCACAAAATTAGACACATTCTCATTGTTACCACACTGTTACACGTTCTCATGGCTACCACATTGTGTATGAACCAGCTGACCTCACAGCTTTCATGGAAGGAGAAACTCACTATAACCTAGCAAGGCAGGTGCAGAATGTGTGTTTAAATGTAGCCTTTTGCATTACACATTTACAATTGTGGAATTTATATATTTAATAGGAATTATGATACAGATATTAACTCTAACTGAATAGTATTTGATGAACTGGCTATAAAACTACATGAAAAAAATATTTGGAGAATTCTTTATTGGTATCGATAAATTGAGTATTGCTTTTCAATCTTAGCACTATACCTTTGAATTTGATATAAATGGTACTAAGTTGCTACAAGAGTTAGCAAATTTATTTAATTTGCATAGACATAGTTGGGAAACAAATAAATTGTGGTTCGAAGTCAAATCAACTCTTAAAAAATGATGAGCCAGTTTTATCAGTGTAGGTAGAGATAGTGAACTAATAGTGATTTGGTAGTTAACTTAGTTGCTAGAAAACTTCATATTTGAAGTGACTTGACAATATGGATCTGTGGTTTTAATAGTTAACCTTATTAAATCCAATGACATCAATTATTTTTGATAAAAATTTAGCATCAAAAAGTGTGTTGTCAATATAAGATATACATTGGACATACAAAACTTATAAAAAAAAGAATGTAGGACACTTCATTTTAAAATAGGAAACTAATTCAAATGCAAATTCTTGCTATTTGGGTTAGAAATCACCTAGGAATAATTAATAGCTATGATGAGTCAGCGATCAATCACCTTTCAATATATAGCTATATCAAATATCATATAGTATATATGTGCACATGTGTATGTGTGTAACTTATTAAGGGATAATTGACAAGTCAAATTTATATTTGTTCAGTTTTAGAAAATGAATGGAGGGTAGGGCCATTGGAGGTTGGCAATATATATATATATATTAGGCCTGCTGTTGAGGTGACTGATGACTGACTCACTATAACATAAATTATTCCTAGGGCATTTCTAACACTAATGGTAAGAATTTGCATTTGGGTTACTGGACAGTATTTCAAGTTCTAGGAGTAGGTTCCCAAATTATATCAAAGCAAGGTCAACAGTGTTGGGCCTGACTTATTGCAAATTAAACTTTGGAAGCAGTGACCATTGGCAGTCTCTATGGAGTATTCATAGTAAAGATAAAGTAACACACTTTATTTTAGTATATATGTATTTATCACAGTAATGATACTCCATAAAAGTGAGTGGTTTAGGGTAAGAAGTATTAGGTGATTGACATTATTTAGTAACAGGAAATAGATTTGTCATTTTCATGTAGCTCCAGGGAAGATTTTGTGTTTCAGTTAAGGTGTGCATATTCTAAATCTGTAAATGAACATCTGTGAACTGGTGTCTACAAAAGGCCTCAGCTACGAACCAACTTTGACCTTCATAAAATTCAAGTTCTTCACGTCCATGCCAATGGAGTTTGAGACCTACAGAGGAAGGGTGTACTGTGTGACCCAGTTTTGGTAGGACAAAATGCTCTCACTCATGATCTCTGAGCATTCTCTATTCTCCATTCATTTCCTGCTATTCCTAGAGTATATCTCCTTGCTTGTATTAAAATTGCTTCACAAATATAAACCATTCAAGTGTTGTGAGTTCTTTCAGCTAGGATATACTTAAGATGACCAAATATGTAGTTCCTGTAACTATTCTCGATTAGTTCCTTCAACAAGGGGAGGGGATACACCAGTATAAGCTCTATAATCCACTTTTGCATCCATACAGTGAGAATGGCTGATGTTTGTCCCCAGATTTCAAGGAGGCCAAGTAGGATAGTTAATCTTGTCAACTTCCTAAATTTAGAACCGCCATGGAAACACACCTCTGGGTGTGTCCATGAGGTTGTTTCCTGGGACTGACTAACTGAGGAAGGAAGAATTACCCTGAAAATTGGAGGTATTCTCCCATGGGCTGGCATCTCAAACTAATCAAAAAGGAAAAAGTGAGTTGAGCACCAGCATTCATCTCTCTTTACCGTTTGGCTGTCGATTCAACCTGATCACCCACCTCAAGATCCTGACATGACACCTCACTCCCATGGTGGACTATAGCCCCTCAAATCGTAAGCAAGAATAAATCCTTTCTCCTTTAAGTTGCTTTTGGACAGGTATTTTTTTTTTTTTTTTTTGTCTCACCAACAAGAACTAATGTGCTTTGTTTTTGCAGTTTCATACAGATGCCTTTATGTAGGTGACTGGCATAGAATGGAGCTTTGTGTCTACCACCAGCATAGAGCAGAGCTCCATGTCTGCTCCTGGCACAGAGTGGACCTTGGTGTCTACCCCTGGCGTTGTCCAGAGATTGGTGTCTACCCCAGCTTCCAAGTGTAGTCATAGAGTTCCAGGAAGCAAATTTCTAGGAGTTTCCTGTTTTACTCTCCTCTTCTAGCAGTCTCTTCAGAATCTTAAGGTAAGTTCTTAGGGGCCATTTGCCCATATTTTTTTTTCTGACTCAATATACTTGAATAGGGTCTTGTTTAGAATAGACAGAATATATGTTCACAATAAAAACTGACAGACATCTCTGGGTAGAGAAAAAGAACCTAGGAGCTAATGGCATAAAATTTAGAATCATGATGAGGTTTTGTAATAATAGAGAAAATAATACATTGCGTTTCAATTAGTCATCAAATTCAGTTGGAAGAAACCTGAGGAGACATTGAGCCCATGTTCTTCAGTGCACAAAAAAAAAAAAAGAAATTTAGGGGCCAGAGAAGGTAAGCTTTTTGCCAAAGGTCACTGACTAGGGAGTGATACAGAAAGGCTAGGACTCAGGTATCTTGTCTTCAAGTGTTTGTTTCTCAAAGTGCAGAGCTGGTCTACTATCCAACTCAACACTCACTTGCTAACACACACAGCATACTAGGTTCTGTGTGAAGTGTGGAGAAGTAACAGGTAATGCAAGGAACAAGAAGCTCATAGCTTAGTAGACAAGTTTCCAGAAAATGCCTGCCTAGACGGTGAGATTTTTCTCTTTTTGGATGTATCCAGCACACAGAGGTGATCTTCACAAGTGTCACATGAATGGGAGCTTTCCACACCCTGTTCATACAATAGAGGTTGCTGAGTGATAGGTGTGGGTTGTGCCATAAGAGGTTGGCTTCTCAACCTTCTGTACTCTTGGTCCTGTCCCTCTGGGATTGGAAATCCTTCTTGTCTAATCTCCCCACATTCCCACCATCTGTCCTTGCACTGCGGAATGCAAAGTCTAAGATGGTTTTGATGAGGACACTGTGGTTAGCTGGCTTCACTGGAATGGTGTCCCTTTGTGGTCTGGCCCAGCTGCTGAGTGACTTTCTGGTCTCCTCTCTACAGGACATCACATCTCTGAACTGCCTGAGTAGCTGTGTTGAAAGATCTCCTTGAGTTTATCTTGAGTTGAAAGTTATATTATCACTTCCTGGGGTGGGCACCCAGCTTTACTTTTTTTTTTTTTTAAACTACGCCTAAGACTTGGAAACAGATTAAAGGAGAAGAAAAAAAATAGTAAAAGCTACTTGCTTTTTTTTTTCTTTTTTTGTCGTTGAAAGGGATTTCAGCCAAAAGCTGATGAGAGAAAAGGAAATAAAGGTTTCAAGGTCTCTGGCTGAGGGTCACAGCAGGGAAGATCATCCACAGGAAGACTCTGGCTGTAAAGGTCTAACCTCTTTGTGTAAACAGTAGTGATGACAATGATAATGTTAGCCAGCATTATTTGGATCCTAACATGTGCCAGGCACACTACTACCTCTGACGTATGAAGCATTTTATTAGTTAATCTAATCTTCAACATCCTGGTGACATAGATACTGTGCTGCTTAGTTTTATGTCAACTTGACACAAGACTGAGGCATTTGGGAAGAGAAAACCTCAATTGAAAAAAAATGCTTCCAAAAGATTTGCCTACAAGCAAATCTTACAGGCATTTTCTTGATTAATGATTAATTGTAGGAGGGCTAGCCCACTATGGGCAGTGCTACACCTGAGTAGGTGGCCCTGAGTTGTATAAGAAAGAAGTCTGAATAAGTCATGAGAAGCAAGCCAGTGAACAACACATCTCCATGATCTCTGCTTTAGTTCCCATCCCCAGGTTCCTGCCTTGAGTTCCAGCCCTGATTCCCATCAGTGATGGAGTGTGACTTGAGAGTTGTAAGCTAAATGAACCCTTTCTTTCCTAAGTTGCTTTTGCTCATGATGGATACTTATCCTATGATGGATACTTTTCACATAACACAGCCTTTAAACTGACAGAACTGAAGAAGACCCCAGAGGATGAAAGAAAAGAAATACATACATCTTAAACTCAGAGAATGCTGAACGTATGATAAATGCCATGCTAGGGTTGCCCATGTGTTAGGTGAGAGCGTAGACAGAAAACACAAAAGCTGAGCTTTGTTAGACACAGAGTGCTGTAGTGTTTTTAATTTGCCCTGATCTCTTCTCCATTATTCTTTAGAGCCATGTGACATGGCACTTGATGGGGAAGGCAGGGTGGGTCTTGAATGTCCCAAAAGCCTGATATCCAGACAACTGACATGACTTGCCCTGCTGGAAACTCAATGGTAAAGCCCCACTCACAAGCTTGTCTTAATTTGACCAGCTATGTAGTTTCACAGTGGCAAAGTCCTGGTCCCCATGACATTAGTTAAGAAAGAATGATCACATTTGCCAGCAGTCCCAGCTGGGAGAAACAAGAGTGGGGCCACAACGCTCAAGGGCATCTAAGCAAAGAGCTGTACACTGGCCTCTGAATCCTCTGACACAGGAATAAAGGGTATTTCAATGAGAGGAGCTGTATGAATGCCCAGGAAAGCACGGTCCTATTTCTTTCTTCTGGCATTCTGTGAGGCCCCACAACAGCAAAACATGAGGCACAAGTATCAGCTGCTGGAGTGCTGGAGGCAAGCCCAAAACACTCATGGAGGCCTTGGCAAACAGTAGCAGAATTCCTGCTTTAAGGACCCCTCTGGCTAATCACCGAGGGAGCATGCTCACAGTGCACTGACTTCTGTGGTTGTATGGTCTATACAACTTAGTCCAGGAAATTCTCTGAACAAATGACAATGGCACCATACAGCAATGTCACAAGGGAGGCAAGCTGATATCCAGAACAGCCATATTACATCATTTGAATTATTTAAGTAAGAAAAAAAAAAGATCAACCAATGCTTGGCTAGCTACTCTGACTGGGAAAATGATATAACTTACTAAAATCAAGAATGAAAGAAAAGATGCCATTACTAATGTCACTGAAATAAAAAGAACAACATGGAATAATAATGTGAACAACTATTTGCCAACAACCTGGAAAATCTAAACAGAATGGACACACTTCATGGAAGTCATAGACTATCCAAACTGACTAGGAAGAAAAAAGTTAAATATATCCGTAACAAGAAGTTGAACTAGTAATTTTAAAAACTTTTCAAATAGATTTCATGGTGAATTATATCAACATCTGCATGCATGAACAGAATTCTCTCATAGGTTTCTTAAACAAGGAAAAAGATTCCCAATTTATTTGAAGAGTTTTCTATTGAGCTTCTATCAGAACTCTGCAAAGGTATCACAAGAAAGTTATGGATTAATACCCTTTATAAACACAGAAAACAAAACCCTCAGTAAAAATGCCAGAAAACAAAACAAGAGGGGTAGATGAGATGGCTCAGCAGGTAAAGGTATTTGATCCCCAGGACCCATGTGATGGAAGGAGGAAACTGACTCCTGTAAATTGTCCTCTGATTTCCATATGTACATGCATATATATATATATATATATATATATATATATATATATTTAAGATTTATTTATTATTATAGATAGTTTTGAGCCACCATATGGTTGCTGGAAATTGGACTCAGGACCTCTGGAAGAATAGCCAATGCTTTTAACCTCTGAGCCATCTCTCCACTCCTAAACAAATATAATGTAAAGAATTTGAGTATTTTAAAAGAATGTAAGCAAATGGAATTCAGTAACACATATAAGGAACCTTCATATTGTCACATAGTAGCATATATTCTATGAATGACAGTTTGATCAATCAATGCTATACACTACACTAAGAAGGAATAACAAAATCCCACAATTATCTCAATAAACAGAGAAATTATTTGGCAAAGCCCAATATCTGCACATAATGAAAAATCACACTTGAAAGAGGAGGGAACAGAATGTTTGAGTTGGGAGAGGGACGGAGTGGGAGAGCAATGGAAGAGATACCTTGATAGAGAGAGGCATTATGAGGTTAAGGAGAAACCTGGTGCTAGGGAAATTCCCAGGAATCCATAAGGATGACCCCAGATGAGAATCCTAGCAGTAGTAGAGAGGATGACAAATGGGCCTTCCCTGTAATCAGATTGGTGAATACCCCAACTGTCACCATAGAGCCTTCATCCAGTAATTGATTGAACTAGTTGCAGAGATCCACAACCAAGCACCTGGCTAAGCTCTGGGAATCCAGTCAAAGAAAGGGAGAAGGGAATATATGAGCAAGAGAGATTAAGATCATAAAGGGGAAATCTACAGAGATGACTGAACCAAACTCATGGGAACTCATGAACAGCCATGGAGCCTTCATGGGACTGAAGTAGGCTCTCTATATGAGGGAGACAGTTGTGTAGCTTGGTCTATTTGACAGGCCCATGGAAGTTGGACCAGGCTATCCCTGGTGTGTGAGCTAGCTTGTGGGAGCCTATTCCTTATGGTGGGATGCCTTGTTTGGCCTTCATGTAGGTGGAAGGGCCTTGGTTCTGCCTCAACTTAATGGGTCAGGCTTTGTTGACTCCCCATGGGAGCCCTTACCCTTTGGGAGGAGTGGATGTGGGGTAGGTTGGGGGAAGGCAATGGGGTGGGAGGGAGAACTGTGATTGGAATGTAAAATAAAATTAAAAGGAAGAAAGAAAGAAAGAAAGGAAGGAAGGAAGGAAGGAAGGAAGGAAGGAAGGAAGGAAGGAAGGAAGAGGAATAAAGAGGAGACCTTTTCTCACCCTAATATGGGGTATCTATAAAATACCTACAGCTGGCATCAAATTCAATGGTGAAACACTGAAAATGTTCCCCCTTTAGATGAGGAAAAAGGACAGGATCTGCTCTCTCATCACTTCTACTCAATATTGTATGGTTAAGTCCAGCTAGGGCTAGTTTTTTATTTAGAAATAAAAGGCATCCATGATGAGGAGGAAGAAACTCAAGAACCTGAAGTTGCAGATAACATCATCTTATAGATGAAAAGTCCTAGGGAATACACAAACACACGTGCATGTGTGTGCACACATAGATATAGACACGGAATACACATACACACAGACGTACAAAGAGACATAATACATACATATATTGACACATACTAGACACACACACACACACACACACACACACACAGAGAGAGAGAGAGAGAGAGAGAGAGAGAGAGAGAGAGAGATACAGAGGCACATACACAGATATACTAGGGCTATGGGACAAGGTCATGTCTATATCTCACAAAGTCTACAGGACATAGAATCAGTTTATAGAAATGAATTGTGTCTTTATAGAGTAGAATGAATAATCTGAAAATGAAACCAATACCATAGTATTAATATAAAAACAACTAAATATGTAGAAACATATTTTTTTTCTAAAAAGGGAGCTAGGCATGTATAACAAAGTCTAAAAAACTATTCAGGGAAATTAAATAAACGGAATGATTCCTTATGTTCACAGAACAGAAGATTTAATATTGTTTAGATGGGAATACTCCCCAAATCAATTAAAAGATTGATAGATTCAATGTATTTTTCAAAACCCCACTTGATTTTCATCAGTATTAATAAAACTATTTTTTTCCAAGACAGGGTTTCCCTGTGGCTTTGGAGGCTGTCCTGGAACGCTCTTGTAGACCAGGCTGGTCTCGAACTCACAGAGATCCGCCTGCCTCTGCCTCCTGAGTGCTGGGATTAAAGGTGTGCGCCACCACCGCCTGGCTAATAAAACTAATTTTAAGATACACCTGGACATGTAAGGGACCAGAATACAGAGAAAGTCTTGAAAAAAGAACAACATTGAAGATATGATGGCCAATTGTACAAGTTGTCAAGGTATGATTCCTAACTACCCAGTCTAGACCTTAGACTAGTTGTTGCTTTGACAGTACTTACAGATTGATGATGGAGGTTGTCCTTGGTATTTGGATGGGCCTGACCCAGTTTTAGGGCCTGACACAGTTTTAGGGCCTGTGAGAGCAGAACTGAGGCTTCCAACCTGGGGACTGCAGCAAGAGGAGTAGCCCTATCACTTGAACTTGCCTTTCCTCTCTACTCCATAGCTTTTAAACTTACCAATCCTCACATTCCCATAAGCCAGTTTTCTGCAATATCTATCCATCTACAAACCAACCCACCCATCTATCTATCTATCTATCTATCTATCTATCTATCTATCTATCTATCTATCTATCTATCTGCTAGTTAATCAATCATCTATCTACATATAGTCTACTATTTCTGTTATCTAATAAAACACTGATTAGTAC